TAGATGTAAAGCACTTCACGAAAGGCGTTCAAGTCATCGGCCCCATTCCTGAGTTAAGAGCCCCGCCGCCCGTCCTTGCCGACATACAGCTCTCTCGAACCGAGAAGCACAGTGGGTTTAAGGGATATGCTCGGGACCACATGTGGACTCATATATCGGGCTTGACTAGGCTCCCCTACTTCAAGGACCTTCTTCTTCCACACAACATCGATGTAATGCACACGTAAAAGAATGTGGCCGAGGCACTCTGGGCAACACTCATGGACGTTGGCAAAAGTCGAAGGACAACGCCAAGGCTAGATCGGACTGGAGATGATCTGTGATAGACCAAACCCGGTGATGAAGACCCTGCGCCCGGCAGAAATGGAAAAGGGGCCGCCGATTACATCCCGAAAAGGGCGATAGGAAGGAAGTTCTGCAGCGGGATCAAGACGTTAAAGTTCCCGATGGGTATGCGCGGCGAATCTGGCGGGGTGTGAACTTGCGGACTATGAAAGTCTTAGGGATGAAGAGCCATGACTTCCACATATGGATTGAGCGGATCCTTCCTGCGATGACCCGAGGATACCTCCCAGAGCATGTGTGGCGCGTCCTGGCAGAGTTGAGCTTCTTCTTCCACCAGCTTTGTGCCAAGGAGTTGTCTCGGGATGTTTGTGTTGAACTGGAGAAGGCTGCACCTCTGTTGCTCTCTGCAAGTTGGAGATGATATTTCCACCCGGCTTCTTTCTCATCCATGCAAAGATCTCGATCTTGCACCTACTGCCATGAGGCACGGGGTTGGGGGTCCTGCAGGCCCGTTGGTGCTATCCAATCGAGAGGTGTCTAAAGCTTCTTCGGAAAAATTGTAGAAATAAAGCCAAGATTGAGGCTTCCGTGGGAGAGGCCTCCGTTCTAGAGGAGGTGTCGACCTTCACACAAAGTACTATCTAATCGAGAAGCTTCAAGAAGATGCACAATCCAACCCCTCGTTATAACGCCGACGAGAACTCATCGATACTCAAATTTTCCAAGGGGATCTCGGGAGTGGAAGCGCAGTACCAACAAGCGGTTGAACCATCGAGGAGTGGCGGATCTATCATGTTCACATTGTTGATCAACCTTGATGAAGTGATTCCTTATCAGAAGTAAGTTCTCAATGAGCTTGTTACCTACGCCGTCACTATCCTCCATCTATCATGGTCTGACCCTCTAGTTTCTTCCTTCTTTTAGGGAATTTATTAGTCAATACTGGAGAGGCAATAGGGCTCCTACCGAGCAAGAAGAAGACAATCTTCTTAGACACGGTGTGCCCGATTTCATCTCCTGGTTCTGTACAAAGGTACCAACCAACTAACCTCTTTCCGACTTTGTGATTCCACTTTGCTCCCCGGAGCGAGTTATGTAACGATCTTCTACCCTTGCAGGCCCGAACGGCTTCGACTTCGTCAGGCGTGGCCAAGGTGTACTCGCGCGGGCCCACGCAGCTTCCTAGGGTGCGGCCGCAATTCCACCAAATACCGTGATCACACCTGGGCAGACGTAAGTAACCATTATTGATTTCACTACTTGTTCATATGACATGTCAAAAAATCGAATCAAGATTAACAATTATTCTTAATGACTCGTGCGGTTCTCGGAAGATTGTGAGTGGAGCAGGTCAAGCACGCCATATCAATGGCATCCGTGGCCTCCTGATTAAGAGTACTACCACGCCTTGTCAACGCTCACGGCGAGATGAAGGTGCCCACCAAGTGGTCCCACTTCTACCTCGTCGAGGAGGGTGGCGAGACCATCGCGCAAAGATAAAGAGGGAGTTTTGGGTGAGTCTTTCATCGCACCGCATTGCTAAATAGTACGCATTCGCCGGACTTCTTGCAAAAAGGAAATGCTACATGATGTGTCTGCGTGTGCAGGACTTCTTCACGCGTGCGAGGAGGGTAAAGCGGCCCGAGCGGCGCGAGTGCAGGAGGCGGTCTGCGCAAAGATTGTCTCAAGGACCAGACCATGAGGCGCGCGACACACAGCCATCCGCGACTTCCACGCTTAACGTGCTTGGAGAGAACATCAAGAAGCCCCAAATCCGCCAGAATGAACTCGAGGGAGGCCAACCTCACCCAAGCGCAATCGAAAGGTGTAATTATATGACAACATTCGCTCGATTCCTTCAAAGAAACATTACACTAATCTTCTCGCATGTCAAATACTTGATGTCATGCGGTGTGTCCATCGTGGTGCGCGACAACCACGAGGAATGCCGGACGGAGATTGTGCGCGCATGTGGCGCACGGATGAGGCGTCTGACGCGAGGCGCCACCGACCATCAGGCCGCCGCCAAGCAGATGCGTAGGGGTGTCACACCACCAAGGGAATCAGCCCCTCCCGATTCGCGACGACAAGATGGGTATCGTCCGTTCATGTCTTAATCCTTGCGCCAATTGTCAATACTTGTAACCATGTTTGTGTTTTCAATGCGACGCAGACGCATTGCAGTGGGGTGAAATCAACGAGTACACCGCGTACCTCCTCTCTCTCACAAGGGCAAGGCGACGGATCCGAACAACGCCTACAACCCGGAGGACGGGCCCGATCGTACACCAAACCCCACCGCCACGAGAAGGCCACCGAGTACACCGTCGCGGCTCGCCAGGCGCTTCACGGGAGACGTTCGACCCCACCGCCGAGCCCTCGACACGACCTCCTGCAGAGGTTGGGACCAGGAAGCAAGACGGCCGCTACTACATGGCCCACAAATACCTCGACCCGTCCCAGTTCCTCTGGCGACCCAGTGTTCGATCCACGCCCACGAGCTCCAAATGACATCCCGCGCTAGCGCCCGGCGGCGGTCGGCGTCACGGTAAGTGCCGCTTTCGTTCGTCGTTCACTCGCTTCGCACCTGTACATACAATCAACACTGCGGATGTAATATTGCAGCCCGGATGGAGGCCAAGATGGAGGAGAGGATCGCCACGTTGCACGCCAGCAGATGATGGCGCAATGATGGCTTACCAAAGAAAGCTCGCAAAGAAGACTACAACACTCATATGCGAGAACATGGCCAGCTTCTTTCCAGTCCATGCAGACGCCTGGGCGCCTACACCGCCTCCTCTTCCAATGTTCGCTCCACCGCCTCCTCCTCCGAGTTTTTTCCTCATGCTCGCCTCTGCCGCTCTTGGAGGGACCCCGTGAGTATATTGACTCTTGCTTTAACTTAAAGTCCATGCTGCAGATACTAATGACATCACTTGGCGTTTAACTTGCGCGAGTACGATCGGCGAGTTCGAACCCGTCTCCTAGAGGTCCCGCCATCGATGATGTCGTATCCACCACCGCACCCTATCCACCGTATCCACCTCCGCGTGGCCCTCCTCCGACGTACTTCGTGGTCACGGTCAGCGCGGAGGGTGGCAAGACGCTGCAGCGCCTCGATTTGGTCCAAGGGGTTTCCGTGGGCAAACCACAGGGGCTCTGGGGCGGAGCGGACGACGAGACCGGGACGGCGACGGGCTAGGTACTTGTCGATTCTGTTATCATGTATCCACCGTATCGTCGAAGTTGTTGTCATGTATTTCTTTTCTTCGTTATGGACCTAGACTTGTTATGTTGAACTTAGGTGTGATGGACGCCGACTTGTGGTGTTCGACGTGTTGGACTTCATGTGATGGTTGTAATGCACTTGTGTGGTTGTTATTGTGACATATATGTGATGTTGTGCGTTATTGTGATATATGTGGTGATGTTGGCGACAAATGTGATGAAATTGTGATATAAATGGTGCTACCGGTGCTTCGGTGAAATTAGATTATAATTTGTGATTTTGCGCGGTTTTTGATGCGAGAAAATAGAAAACAAAAGAAAAAAAAATTCCAGCTTTGCCGATTGCTTACGATAAGTAAAGTCGGGCAAAAACTCAGAAGAATCTTTGCCGATCGCAACTCAAAGCGGTCGGCAAAGAAAAAAAATTCCACTTTTGCCGATCGCTTACGGCAAAGTTGGGCAAAAAACTCAGAAGAATCTTTGCCGATCGCAACTCCGCGAATGCAGAAGAACATTTCAAAAAAAAATTCTTTCTTTGCCGATCGCCGAAATCAAGGCGGCCACCGGCAAACAATTTTTGAAAAATAATTCTTTGCCGATCGCCGAGGAACCAAAGAATCGGCAAAGCTCGCCGTCAGTCGGTACGGCGCCATCGTGGCTATGCCGATCGGCGGCGTGGCGGCTTGGCAAAGGATTTGCCGATTGCAGTGCCACGTGGCGCGCTTAAATCCGCTTTTGCCGACCCAGGCTTTGCCGATTGCTCTTTTGCCGATCGCCACGTGGCTTTGCGGGTCGGCAAAGCCTTTGCCGACTGGTTTATGCCTTTGCCGACCGGGCAAGCGATTGGGCAAAGAGGCGTTCCTCTGTAGTGGTAGCATGTCGTGGCCGAATACACATGAGTATGCAAAATGCATATAAACCTATCATCGTATAATGAAGGTGAGTCCGATTTATTTAGTTGTGGTTGTTCTCCCAAAACTGAACCTGAAGCCAATCAATTGTCCCTTTTGCACTGGAACGCCTTGGCCAAGACATCATCTCGAGATCGGTGGCTTTGATCCAAAGATCTGCGTTGGCAATAGTAATAGCCCCAGTGGTTCTACGGCTACTTAGTGCCGCGATCGCGATCACCGGCTTGTCATGGACCGGATTGAATTGGAAGTGGATGAGCCCTTGGGGAATACAAACAACAAGTCACCCTTGTTGAGAACCTTGGCGAATAGCTTGTTACCGTTATGTCGTGTTGGAGGTGACAAATCCAACATAGAGTGTACCCTCAAGCACGGTGAGAATCTCTGTGGCACGTGGGTGGGTGTGTGGCGGATTCTCGACCTAATGGTGCGTAGTCAATGCGAGCCAACGAGATACCTGTGGTGTTGAGTCCAGCAATCTGCATGACATTGATCAAAGTGACATTTGATCCGACCTTGCTTTTCATTGTGTCCATAGGCTTGTCAGGTTTGCTGCCTTGAAAAAGTCATCTGCGCTCACGCCATGGGGTCCTTGCAAACAAATCCATTCACCTTCACTGCACATCCAAAGACAAAAAAAATAGGTACACAACGATCAGAAATCACTAGGACATACATAAAAGTATAGTGTTTGTTCTGACAAAAATAATTCTAATTTGATCTGTAATTTAGTACAAGAACATAGCGCATTATTTGAAGTGTGTGCATGCATACCTGGAGAGTGTATGTCGGCAACACAGAAGTCCTGGAGCGGGCCAGGGTCAGAAGCAATGGCCTGAGAAGTGGCCAATGCTAGAAGAGAAGCGAGGAGAAAGTAGGTGGAGGGAGCCATCTGGTTTAATGTTTGTGCTCTCCGAATTGAGCTATGGAGCTTCCGTCTGTTTGATGCTTTGGGCATTGGGCTGGTGTGTTTATATAGGCTGCCACAGAGGCAAGGGTGGTGACGTGAACGTGTTAATGACTGAAAAAGTCCAAGTTCAACCTACCAAAAGAAGAAAGGGTCTCCGGCTGCTAGAACCTGCAGAGGAAACAACACAATTATCTTACTACTATATCAACATTTCCAAACCTACCTTGGTTTTAATATTTTCACATGCATTACATTAGCAATCCAATGTGATCTCTTTGGAATGTGTATTCTTTCTTTCTTTGGTGTTTTTGGGTAGAAGGATCAAGGTCATTATCCTTTTAAAAATTAATTCTAAAATATTATGAAGTAAACCATAAAATGGGTATTCCTAGTAATTATGTTGTTTATATAAATTTCAACGCAGGTAAATAAGTCCTTTTTGGACGGTGCGGTTTGTTAATTGTTGCTGGGTAATATGGACAGATGATTAAGATATTGATAATATGGAGAGATGATTTGTTTTCTAATGGTGATTAAGACATTCGCAGAAGCAGATGCTGATGGTGGACTGCATGTGATCGTTGAAATGGTCGATCCATGCGCTTGTGCTCACATACGTATAGAAAGAGTCAACTCCTCATGTTTCCAATGTTTACATGGTCACCATTTTTTCGGGAGCTGCCCGAATTAATCGAGTGGAATGCTTCCATGCCAAGGCGCGCAGGGACGAACTGGTAAAAGCCTAAAAGGTAGCTACTGCACACGCTTTACTTTTGAGTTAATCTGTGGTGAAGCTTCTATCCATCATCTGTCCTCCGTGCATCACCAGTGAGGTCATCCCGTAAGCCTGCAGCCTGCTATTGCCACAACACATAGCAAAATGTTAATTTTCAATTCACTGGATCCCTAACATTTCTATATGATATTGGCGTTTCATTAACGTCCTGCTGTATCTGATAGTGACTTTTTTTTGGACCGATCAAGCATTTGGGTGCTGGCTACCCGTAACTAGCAATCACTGCCAGTTTGGAACCAGCGCTTTTAGTGCCAGATTTCAATCCGGCAGTGGTTAATGGACGGTGTTGGTCTTGGCGTTGCACTGCCGGTTTGTCACTGGAATGATGCTTATTCTCACATAATAACAAAAAAAAAGCACTGTGATCGTGATCCCAACCGTGTTGAAACAAAAATTTAGGTCCATGGCTAATGAATCACTGCTGGTCTGTGTTACCAATTGGCAATATGTGAAAGACCATCTATCACTGTCGGTTGTACTATCACCGCTGGTTGAAGCTACGAAGCTTATCACTACCGATCGGCAAACAGAGATTGTATACTCTGTAGTAGTGGCTTTCACTGTAAAGCTGCACATGGGCATAGCCAATAAGACTTCTTTACCAATACCAAGCATCAAGGGCTTGTCAGCCACAAGCAAGCACAAAAGCTAGAACAAGATGGCGGCAAGAACCATGCCAAAAAAACTGCCAGGGCATCTGGGCATTCTTTGGAAGATGGGTACTCCATAAGTCTCGACCATCTTCGAGTGTTAATAATGAGGAAGGATTGAAGGAAAGAATCAAGAAAAAGGAGAAAGCCAAGGAAAAAGGAACAAAGGAGCAAGCGGCTTTCCTCGCCATTCAAGAATGGATAAGTACTGGTGAAGACACTAGCTTAACTACAAGTGATGCATCAAGTAAGCTCTTCACCACTCACAACTATACAAGACATGTCTTTTCTCCAAGTCATCATTAACATGCCTAATTGCAATAGGTACCGAAAGCAATGTAAGTGATAACTCCTCTAATGATTACGTGGGTGCGAGGGGCTCTCCTCCCAGCCCTGGCACCCTCTCCCCTCCCCTCCTCATTTTGTGGCAACCATGGCGGGGGTTGGGCAGCTCAGGGGCCGGATCTGCAAGAGTCGGTCCATGGCGATGAGACAAAGGTCAGGATGGAGCGTGTCTCAGTCTAGTGACCCGCAGCTCCAGCATGGCCTTGGCTGTGCCGGCGACAGGATGAAGGTCAGGTTGTTGCGCGTATCAGTCCAGCAACAAAGCAAGCGGTAGCTGCGGCGTGGCCTTGGTTGTGCCTTTGGTCAACATCGGCAATAACAACTCGGCAGGGGCATGGTTTGGTGTCGGCATCACGTTGTCGGTTGGCTGCACCCATCCTCTTGGCGTGCCACACCTTGACACGACTGTTGTGGGTACATGGCTCTAGGCTTAATGCTTTGGACAGTTTGACCAGAGCCAATGATGGCGACACCCATGGGCGTCGCTCTCCCTGTTGGGGCATCATTGAGGAGCCCTCCCCCCCTCTACAGGTGTTGTTCTAGGCCTAGGCCTCTGAACACCAGGTGGTTGCCGAGCTAACGAGAACCTGCAAGGGGCGAGTAGCGAAAGTATGACCAAAAGAGAATGGCAAAGTGAGTTAGTGGACGACTGGTTTTATCATTCATCCTCCTTTACAATGACCTCTAGGGCCGTATTTATACAGGCCTGAAGGCTTTACACGGGAACAAAACACACCCAAACATGCTCTAGATTCGGAGCATATCCTAACAAAATGTGGGCAACCTGGTCCAGCGGTATCCGTCACCCCTGGTTGTCACCTCCCTCAGCTGACGCATGGCCATATCTGATACAAGGAGGGGACCGCCCCTTGTTGCACCACCTTTGGCTTCCACGGACGGTGCCTTCGGTCCTCGACCAGTCTCTCTCATTTCGCGCCCTTTTGCCTTCGTTGCCATCGCGGCGAAACATGAGGATCACCTGCAGATGATTAACACTCACAGAAGATGACAAAACAGGGACTTAAGGTGTCACCTATCGTCCTAACTCTAAGCACCCTTACCACTTCGCCCGTTTGCAATCCGGGAATGGCTGTGTCAAGAAAGTGTAGCCCACCGCATGTTCTTTCAGACATCCTTCCCCGGCGAAATGCTGAGTCCATCGGTTGTAAGGATGGCGAGGGGCGAAGAGGGGGTGATGAAGAGGCGTGTCTCCCCCCAACAACAGGACTCTTTGTGTGAAAACTCTGTTCAGATTCCTTGGCAAGTGACGGCAGTGCTTCATGCGCTGCATCCTTCCTTGAGGCGTCGTTTCATTGCTCAGCGGTCACTGCCTGGTACTCGCTAATTTTCGACGAGGCTCTATGTTTGGTGTTGCACCGCGCCATGTAGGGACTCTTCACCTGCTTGGAAGATGCCACGACGAAGTCGGAGCTGTTGTGTTGTGGGTTTCAGCATAGCTCGGTAATGATGACATTCAGTAACCTCTTCAGGGCAGTAATAGTTTTCCGTGTAGTCTTGTGTTATGACTTTGAGGCTTGGGCCACCCATCACAAGAAGTCGGAGCTGCTCGGATACATTTTTGAGCTTGGTAAGAATGACTAGTCCTAGGCTCTGCATCATCGTTTTGGGTTGGTGTTTACACCAAAATTTGGGAAGAAGAACGTGGCAACTCGAAGCTTCCAAGATCATGTCATCAAAGAATTGATTGCATAAGGGTCGATATCAGCTGATTCAAATGTAGCACTAGAATTGGCTCTCTTCGAATGATGCCAACAGATAACGACAAAAAGCTACGGTTGGTGTCGGGGCAAACATATCAGACTCTACAAAAAGGGAAAGATTAGGGACCAAGTTATCTTAAATTAGGAATGTTTTATCTTATGCCAGAGATTGTAATGAGTCGTACTTAAGTAGGATTCATGCTTAGGTTCCGGGTATAAATATTGAACCCTGGCTATTGTAAAAGACATCCAATCAATCAATACAAGTTACTTTTTTCAGCTTTGTGCCAACCCTTAGGAGTAGGAGTAGAGTAGATCTCGGCGAGTTCTTCAACAAGTAGGGCTACATCGGTCCGGCCGATCTCTGGCTTGTCTGTAAGTACCGTCATGGCTTATATTTCCGTTTGTATGGCTGCATTGGTTAAGTTCGACCTCCACTGCGAACTCTAGTATAAGCTAGTTATCGACTCATGTCTAGTTCAAGTACGGTTGCATCGATCCGGTCGACCTCCACTGCTCGAATTAGATTAAGGTCAAGTTATCGGCTCTACCTAAGAGTGGCAACCTTTGGGTAGATTCATAAAGTTACCGATCTTGCTGATGCTCTCATTGCCATTAGTTTGCAGTAACATCAACTTGCCCGGTCGAGATCGATCTAGCTCGGCCTCATATCCTTTTAGCCCATCGTTTGCTTTGTTTCAATGCGATGTTTCTTACTTTAAGCGATGGGTTACGTTTTATCTGTTGTTCTACTTCAATCTTGATCATGCATAGTACGCGGTTAAGGCACGTATGATCTTGAAGAGGTTTGCTAGCTAGTTAAATCTGGTTTTTAGCTCGCTATTATGGCTGTAATGATCCGGTCGATCCCCACTGATGGCACTGTAGATCGGAGGATGCTAGTTGGTAGATTTGTTCTCGATCAGGCATGACCTTAACTATTTGCTATGCCTACATCGGTTAAATAGCCGATCGCCTGTGCTTCAACGCCTACAATGTGTCTCCATGATTATGTTAAACGTGAATAGATCTGTGTACTTTAAAGGTTTGATTTGTTGTCTTTATCATGGCTACATCGATCCGGTCGAACCCCACTGTTGGAGATAGCAGGTTAGGTCTGATGAGTTTATAGGTTTGTCCATGTTAAATAGTCGATTGTTCGCATGCTGTAGTCCCCTTTCACACGAATCGGCTATTTCGGCCGATTCGCTTTGAGCTTTCGCACATATAGCATGTCTTTCAGAAAGCCTGTCACTATATAGATGGTTTTACGGATTCTAAGGTTTTAGTTTGTTATTATCATCATAGCTACCATCGATCTGGTCGAACCTCATTGTTGATTGTAAGAGATTAAATTCAGAGCGTTTGTAGATCCATTCATACTAGTCGATTTGTTTGCATGTTATATCCTTTCTCGTTATATTCATCGGCTCAATGATTCACACTGGTAATATCCACCTAGCTGATGAT